ACTGTATTTTGCTGTCTTCTACGACCAGAGCCAACTTTAAGTCATCTATAGATTTGGAGGACACTTTTGCATTCTTGCTCTCCCAAATCTATAAAATAGAAATTTGACTATGATGAACATGCTCTTTCCTAAGGAATTAATATTTGTGATTATTTTCTTTTTGTTCATCTAATATAAATTCGCCCCATTAAGGAATCTAATGCAGAACTCAGTTTTTAAACACAACCTATTTTCAAGATGAATATTTCTTTTCTGGAACGCTGAACATAGCTTCAGTTATCAGGAGACAGAGAATCTCTTGGTAGGAGATATTGCTGAGGTGCAATCAAATGCACGGAAAATGCTCACCAACGCTTTCCAGCAAGCTTAAATTTAAAGCAGAGTGAATCCCACACTGCATTTCTTATATATTTGATTTCGACCAGGGTAACAGGTATAAATTCTGCCTGAATGAGGAGGGAAGAGAGGGGAGTAGCCTAAAAGGCAAGAGTGATGTTAACAGCTAGAGAGCCGACCGCGGAACAGGCACGAAGCACACATTTCAGGGAAAGTAACAGCCCAGAGCACAGCCATCAGCTAGCAGCCCATTATGGGCAGAAGAGATGAAAAACACTTAATACCTGGAACAGAGGCCGAGTGGTTCTGTAGACAAATTTTTTTGTGTCAGATGGTTAAGGGGACATTTAGTGAGAAATGCCAAGGCAAGGAAAAGACTAATCTAGAAAAGTGCATTGTGATGCAATGAGAAGGCTGGAAACTGCTACTTCCTGTGTACTTCAAATAGCCAGTTCAGGGTGACATTAAGTCACGGGGTGGGGGGGGAGGGGCAGGGGAGGACTCTCCACCTAATTCTCCCTGTAAAAGGACAAGAAAACAGTCATGACGGTAATTAAGAGCTACTCTTAGAGAAGGGCACACTATTAGTCTTTGAAACAGTACTCCATACGGCATGGTGACTATAGTTAATGACACCCCACTGTATATCTGAAAATTCCTAAGGGGGGAAATCTTAAAAAGTTCCCATTACAAGAAAAAAATAAAATTGTAGCAATGTAAAGTGTAAGGTGACAGATTTTAACTAGATTTACTATAGTGAACATTTCATAATACATACAAATATTGAACCATTATGCTGTAAGCCTAAAACTAATATTATATATCAGTATAATACGTTATATATATATATACACGTATGTATACGTACATACACATGTATATATGTGTATATATTTACATAGATACATGTTATATATCAATTACGCCTCAATAAAAAAGTCCTGCCACAGTAATGTCTAGTGATTCTTTCCTTAAGTCTATATATTTAGATCCATGAGTTTATCAATTTGTATCACAAGAATAAAGTGGGATGCTAATGGTAAATGTCAGATTCTAACACAGCCCAGAAGTATGTACCAAGGAGGTCTCTTGATAAGGGTCCTAGAAGCACTGCTAGTCCCCTTCCACAGACTGTTCTACTTTGGTCTTGACTTGTTATGTTACACAAACCCAGGAAACTGCCTAAAATAATAATAATAGCACCAGCCATCTTCTAACCACATTAGCCTCAATGTCCTAATGACCAAATTTCATTTAATACATCTTGTTGCCCACCATCCATAAATATGGTCTCCAAATTTGAAGGTCTAAAGAATTAGATACGATCTCTCTGACATGTGAATTCCCTGTGTTTAAAGAATCACCTGCTTACTAACCATATTTTTGCCATAGTCTAATCAGAAAGAAATATGAAGATGTGCTGTATTTCTAAGCACACCCTACACAGACCATTCTCCTAAATGACTGCAAAAAGTTTAAGTACTATTTAGTACATAAAATGATGCCTGCTTTCACTTGAAGGATAACAAATACAACCCTGGACACACAATAGATCATCTGGAATGCAGTTGTTTTTATAAACAGTATATGTAAAGTAGATAAATAGAATGTCTAGATTAAATTAATATATGTTCCAAATATTTTGATCTCATTTATTCTCAGAAAGACACTTGGATTATAGGTATTATTAACCCCACTGTCTTTATTTTTTTAATGTTTATTATTTATTTTGAGAGAGAGAGACAGAGAAAGAGCATGAGTGGGGAAATGGGGTTGAGAGAGAAAAAGAGAGAGAGAGAGAGAGAGAGACATACACAAGTATGGAGCCTGATGCAAGGCTCGATCACATGATCACAAGATCATGACCTGAGCTGAAATCAAGAATCAGATGCTGAAGCAACTGAGCCACCCAGGTGCCCTTCATTATTCCCATTTTAGAGCTGATTTTAGTAATATTTAGTAAATTTTAATAATATTAGTAAAATTTAGTAATATTGGGCAATTTATCCAAAGTTCCACAATGAGTAGGAAGTCATAGAGTCCGCAATAAAACTGAAGTCGATCTGACACACACTGTATTTATCCATTATGTGATCAAACTAGACTATCACGTTCATCAAAGTCATTATTTATATTTTCCAAATTAAGTAGCTGGATTGTGTCAGGAAGGCGAAGAGTCTGACCATCCAATTACTACAGGTTAAATACGCATCCAGAAAAAGTAACGATTGCGTTCCTTCTTTCCTTTCCATGAACATCTGTCTCTCCATTCTTCCACGTCTACATCTATAATTTTTCATTTTCTATGTCCTATGAAAACTTTTGGTCACACCCATTACCTTCCTCAAGTTAAAAAAAAAAAAAGGAAAATCTATTTATTCCACATACCCCAAGTGATCGAAAATGTACCAAGGTCAAACTCATTGTTATAACTACTTATTCAGACCATCAAACCAAGGAGATTCATTCTGGTATCTCATACATACAATCGAAAAGTACTCAAGTTCTCTGCCACCTCCTCCTAAGCAAATGTAAATTGTTCCTTTGAAGCCTTTGATGCTTTGTCTATAAATTCCCTCTCCATCTCAAATTATTTTACTGTTTTTCTGTATTTTTTTCAGTCATGGGTTGGTTAGTTTTTTAACCTATTTACCACCCTGGACATTCTTTTACTGTGAATGGCAACACTGAACTCCCACGATATAGCCTGCAAGAGATAAACACAAACTTGCTTCCTGTCACATAAAATCTACTAAACAGTGGTCACTGATTAATTGAAAGAGAAGCACAGATAACATTACCAATCAAGGAATCCCACAATCTCTCTTAGAAAAATGACATCAGCATTGCCCAGTAGCTTTATGTGCATTTGGAATTTAACCTAGGGGCACGCGTTTCCAGAATTTTAAATGGATTTAAGGGGATTATTTCGATATAAGCACTCTCAATTATGATGTGAAAACTTTAAAAGTTAAAATAAGAGCACTTTAAAAATTTTAAGTAATGTTGATTTCAAAATCTCAATCTCATTCAAGCAACTCCATTTAAAACTCAATTAATGGGAATAGTTTCGTTGCCTTTAGAAAATTTTACATTCCCATAAAAGTGTGATTTCAGCTAATAACTACTGATTCTTTATGAATTAGTTGATTTTTATACACCTATCTACTGAAAACAAACTTTGATGAATCTGTTAAATATTCATTACAAATGAATGAAATTAAAAGCTAGATTTCCTCGTCAATAACACCGCATAATGATTACTGCTCTCACTTCGTTTACGAGAATATGGGTAAGAGAGACTGAGACAGAGAGATTTAGTACATGCACAGTATATATGATGGTACCCTACTGGTTAAGGCAGAATGGCTCTGTGTACTTACATATTCTTTGTTAGGTCAGAAAAATGCTACAATTGGGCATATCCTACTCCACATCCCTGGAAACCCTTAACTTGTTCATCCTTTTTGTTTATGATATAGTATCGGTATTTGTAAAATATAGAGGCATTAAAAGAAAAATAACATAATGAAGATTACCTTGACTTATATAGATACTCATCAACAAAAACAGATGTTTCACTCTTATTTAAGGTATGTTCAAATGAAACAATGATCCGTGGAATAAACAGCAAAGGTTCTTCCTCAAGCACTCAAAATTGAAAATTCTCTCAGATAAGTTCATCAGTGTGCTACGCTCCATTTTATCAAGAATAGACACATAAAACTGGCAAAGTACAGAAATGTGGATGTGCAGACATCTTGCCAGTGCATTCTACTTAGAAACTCTTTACCAGTACCAAAACGAGAAATTCCAAATATCTTTACAAATATGAACATTATCAAGCTTGCAGTAGCTGGAGGCTGGGAACGGGACACAAGGATGATAGGGGGAAAGGCCAGGCTCTCTCCAAAGGCCCCTCAGTTCAGAAAGCCTTTGAATGCAAATCCCATGCCCAAGTATTCAAAGGGAAAGAATCTGTGGCGGGAGGGGAAACATCCCAATTTGGCTCCGACGACGACGTGGCCACCGAACCCATGTACCACAAGGTGCCCACCTTTGGTCTAATGTCGATTAGAAACTGACTTCTGTTCGCATCCATTTTTTAACCAAAAAGAAAACCTAAAAAACAAAACCACACATCCACCAACACAAGACCACCACTAAGGAAAGGGGGGTCAGAACCGCTCATGACTGAGGGACAACAGACCCAATAATGTCACTTGGCAGTTTTTCAAATGCAAGCATCAGAAAAGGAAAGATACGCATAAAGTTAGTGTGTGCACCGTACCGACCCCCAAAAAGGAAGCTAAAAAACAAATCGACTGGCTAGAAGCACCCACCACTCTTCATTTATCAGTGAATATTCTTGTTCTGATTTTGGAAATAAAAGTTTTATCAGTGTGCCACAATCCTGGTAAACTAGACATCTGCGGACTCATCTGGATGCAGGACTAAAGCATCACTCCCTAAATTATGGCTTCACTGTACGGATACCAACCCAGGTTCTACTTTCAGAGGAACTAATGCCAAAAACTTCACGAACTATTTCACAGGAGCAACAAGTTTACGTGTTCCATCCCCAGAGCAAAAAGAGCAGCTCTCCATCCAATCGCAGACATTCACAATAATCATTTGCGACTTTGAAAGGCCAAATGCCCTACCTTTCCTACATAGAGAGGGTCTGAACCCATGTATTCCTCCAGCACAAAGAACTGATTCCACACCCAGCTGCGCTTGGTCCGGGACCTCCCTGATTGGAAATAGGGCTTTGATCTGGACCTGGAGAGCTCTGCTTGACTCATCCCAGAGAAACACAGGAAAAGCGCTATTAGCTGCAGAAAATGGCAGAGCTCCACTTTGCCCAACTTCATCTTTTTTTTTTTCTTCCTTTTTCCTGTGTAAGAAAAAAACCTTGACAAGAGAAAAGGCACAGTTCCAGTTGGCTCAGTAGCTCTTGCCTCCGGCAGGGTGTCAGCTGGGAGTCCAGAGATAATAATTTGTAGAGTGTTCGATTGTAAGGGGTCACCACTGCTGAATAACCTTCGCCAAAGAATGGTGTAATAGGTACCTGGCAGAACAAAAGGAAGAGCCAGTGTCAGAAACCAGAATACATCGTAACTTTTAACTCTCATTTGCTAACTTACTGTTGATCTTCCCCAGATACCGGGAGTTGGATAATCATTAAAATACGGATGATGAACTTCAAGACGTACGACGGCTGGTGCCATGTTTCTAAACCACACCAAGACTGCTCATGCAGGATTACCCGGTTTACTTAATACAAACGGAGCAACGTCGGTTAAAGAAATCATCCTAATGCCGGCCTTTATCACTATTTTTTTTTTCTTTTATGTTACAGTCAGTTTCATTCGCTGGTATTAGAATATGAAAGCCAAGCTGCTCAAAGCAGGGATTTAACCAAATGGGAAGGACATATGCTGGCTTAAATCTCTCCTGTGAAACTGTAAAGAGAAATAAAGAGGTATGAGGTGATTCAAAACCGGTTGATTGATTCTGAGTCACAGAACACCAGCTGTTTTGATGTGTTCTGATTTGATTGTGATCAGCTGAAAAGCTCAGGGGTTTCCATTTTCCACCCTTCAAACCTATTGTCACATCGGCTGTGTGGCCTGGTACGTTATGCCATAGGATGGCCGTTATTTGCTACCCCACGGATATTTATCGAACATCCTAGAGCAGGGCTTGTGCACACAGTAGGGCCTTCTCGCCTAAATATTTACGGATTACGAAGAGATCATTAGAGGGGTCTGAAGACTCAGCTGTCTTTGTGAGCCCCGCTCACAGCAAGCGTGCACCCAGAAGGCGTCAGCAGCAGCATGGGAATAAAACAACTTTTCTTCTCAAGTCCACTTGTGTCGGATGCAGAATTCTTGACGATGCAAGAGATACAAGGTCAGTTACAAGAGAAACTTCCAAACATACCCCAAAACACAGAGGAATGAGGATTTATGGCAAAATGCTTAAATCACGATGCTGCACTTTGGTTTGTAAATTCATTCGACTACCTATAAATAAATCAATAGGATAATGAAGGTGAAGGCTAATATTGGCCTTTTTTCTTTTTTTTGGAGGGAGAGGAGGTAAAATAGCTTTAGGGACATGAAGCCAAAAGATAGTTCCCAATCAACGTAGAAAATACTCTGTCTTTACCTTAGAAGCGTTTCCATCTTTCTACCTGTCTCTCCTGGAACAAGAGTGTCTGTAACTCATTAGGTGATTTCTGACAGTAAAGCCTGCTCATGGAAAATGTCTTCTCTTGTAGAAGAAAAATGAAATGTATTAAACGTATTAAATACGTTAAAATAGTCCACCCGCCTGTAAAAACAGGTTGCACTTTGATCTCTGTTCTAATGAACACATTCGTGTTAAAAATATGTCTATCAACTTCTGAATTCCAGAGGGCACTGCAGAATAATCCAACATACAGCTGACATATGTGGAGAACTAGCAGAATAGGCCAATTATTATTGGAGCATATTCACCATAACCTGGGCAATGAACACCTTCTCCTAAAATCCAGATCGGTCATCTCAGCATCAAAAAGGAATCTAGTCCATTTAGAAACCACTCTGGAAGGGTTAGTTGTTCTAAGACTTAGAATTATAAACAGGAAGTAAGGTGGGGTCGTATCTTTGTATTCCCATGTAGCCACCACACTCCCCCATCAGGCGGAAAGTTCACGGCAGGGAGGTCTGAGCTAACCCACCTGAGACACAGGTTATCTGTAGTTAAAGAAGGCACATAGGTGTTTCTTTCTTTGCTGGGAAACAGAAACTAGTATGGACTAGTCTACCATGAGCCAGGAACTCATACTGAGTGGCTTTTGTGGGAATGGCTGTCATCATGGGGAGGGCCAAGGTCATGTGGTTCCCTTCACGCCAGTGGCAAAAAACCATGTTCTGGGGCGGAGAGGGATGGTTAGAGTGTGGTCACAGGACTGTGGAGCTTAGGAGATCTGGGGCCAAAGAATATTCCAGTTTCGCTGCTCTACTTCCTCAAGAGAGAATGTGTTTTCTCAGAGAAACAAGGAGATAAATACTTTGGTTCCGAAGACAATTTTTTTTTTAAGGTAACATAGTTTAGTTAAGTTATATTAAGGCCACTTTATGGTTCAAGTGAACTTGAGAACAATTACACGGTGAAATGCATTCAACTTTATTTTTAAAATTTTTTACTGTTTTATTTATTCTTCAGAGAGGGAGACACAGAGACAGAGAATGAGTTGGGAAGGGGCAGAGAGACAGGGAGACACAGAATCCGAAGCAGGCTCCAGGCCCTGAGCTGTCAGCACAGAGCCCGACACGGGGCTTGAACTCACAAGCCATGAGATCACAACTTGAGCTGAAGTCGGATGCCCAACTGAATGAGCCACCCAGGCACCCCTAAATACATCCAATTTCTAAGAACCTGAGTGGCAAATGGAATCCAGTATGTGGGGAGTTATTAAAATTATACACCCAGAAAAAGTGTGGGCACCTGCACCAGAGAAGGATTCAAATTCCGAGTCTGCCCTGTCTTAGCTATGCAGCCTTGGACACATTATTTCAATTCTAACATATGTTCCGGAGAGGAAGCCGTAAGCCTCTAACTTGCAAAACAGATAACTGCATCTACTTCATAGGATTAAATAAGCAAATCATGAAAAACTAAGGATGATCCCTGATGCAACTAACAGCCTTAAAAAAAAAAAAAAAAGCTGTTGGGGTTATTATCTATTATTGTGATGGTATTTTTTAGTTTGATACTGGTTATGTTAAAGTTAGTTTGTGAAGTAATGTTAGTTTTCATGTTAATGTTCTTTATAGGAAGGTGTTTTAGACAACTCTTACACTGAATGAAAACACTCTCGATAGGTCCAGTCACCGCCAGAGAACCATATGGATCATGAACCCAAAAATCTAGATGAATATGGACAATGGCACCAAAATACTTTTAAAAAAAGAATGCAGTACGTTCTTTCCTAAAGGCATGTCCTCTGTGATTTTTATACGTCAAAGACTGGTATCAGAATTGGAGAGATTTGAGCTCACTCAAAATGTTCGCTAATAAGAAAAAGAAATATAACCTGGACCAGGAACAGGATCACTGGGGTCTTTGCCCTAAAACCTCCACCATTTGCTAGATGACCTTAGATCCCTCTGGGATTTCATTTTCCACATTTGCAAAATGAGGGAGATGAACTAAATTATAAAGTCTTTTTTTTTTTTTTAACAGATGTCACTTCTCTGCTTTTGACAATTATATAGAATTGGTTTTGCTGGCCTTTTTTTAAGCTGTGAAAAAGCACACATTGTTAATGAAAGGGCAGAAGGATATAAGGAAGCCATAGGAATGTAAAAGCATTTTTTTTTACATTTATGAAATTTAGCAGGCATTTTTTTAAAAAAAATTTTTTTTTTCAACATTTATTTTTGGGACAGAGAGAGACAGAGCATGAACGGGGGAGGGGCAGAGAGAGAGGGAGACACAGAATCGGAAACAGGTTCCAGGCTCCGAGCCATCAGCCCAGAGCCTGACGCAGGGCTCGAACTCACGGACCGCGAGATCGTGACCTGGCTGAAGTCGGACGCTTAACCGACTGCGCCACCCAGGCGCCCCAATTTAGCAGGCATTTTAACATGAGATGTTTACATTACTCTTCTTGCCTCTTGAAGAGCTTTTCTCTTCCAGCCAAGACTGTGAAGTTACCAAACGGGCCAGAACAAAAGCAGTGAGTTACAAAACACACCATGGGTCACTTTATAGTCACTGGGTTAATATTTGTGAAAGAGACTGGAGACCTGCATTTTCCTATTTAAAACCAAGTGTTTTAAAAGCAGTGATTAATAAAAACCTTGGTGAACAGGAAGACCCACCCTAGTATCTAGAACAGAAGTAGACACACGCAATTGACACTGAGAACATGGTTACAAATTTTCTTTTCATTACAATCAACTTCATGTTTTTAATATGGGAAATTAACCATGTAAGTCAATATATAAATTCCTTGGTAACTCTTCCAGGTTTATGACTCAAAATCACTTTGGAAAAAAAAAATGTCCATCATATTTTTCTGCAGTAGTTGAAGGCTCTTGACCCAAATTTCATTTACCTTTCTTTAAAGGTCTTTAATAGCGTACAAGAATATTTTAACGGACTTCGTGTACATTACTGGAGGATAAAATTCTCATTTTTATGAAACAGATAAATGATTCTACAATACCCTCTGTGAAATGCACTCATATAGTCAGAATCTCCCATGTGAATGATTGTGATTGGAGTAGGGGAGATTCATTGTTGATCAACATTGTTGACAGTGACTAATAACTCTGCCTGGAATGAACAACTGACAACAGCAGGGGGAAAGTCACAGGGCAGATGACCCTTCATCATGAGGCTTCCCCAAATCCTTGCCTTCCTTTACAACCAGATCTGGTTTTCAAGGTAAAGACCAGTACAGCGGGTCAACCCAACTAATCCTGACCTGACCTGAGAGTTCATAAAGGAAATGATAGGCTCTGAAGCATTATGAAAAACCTTCCGTTATTCATGGTCTTCAAAGAGAAGTCATCAAAGCATGAACTTGAGATTCCCTACTGCAAACAGGCTTGCTATCATCCCACAAGTGTCCGCACTTAGAGAGGCACCCCAATAACATTGTTTTTTACATTTAAATGAATTTGAGCACACAACCAATCGCAATTGTTGCCATTTCTCACAAAAGGTTAAATTCGGACTCGCAAATCTGTGCCCCAAAGCAAAACCCTGCACCCTGCCTAGTTAGGTCTCCATCCCTCTAGTCTTTTCCCTTCTTTCTGCCTCCTGAGTTTCATATTAACAGAGGGAAAGCCCCATCAGAAACAAGCAGAGACCCCTGCATCCAAGCGGCATTATGTGTCATTATGTCTTCCGTGGGAAAGCTTGGGGCGGTGACCCACTGGAGGTCTGGAGGGCTGACCTGTTCACTATTGCTGGCTCAGAAAGAAAGACAGTGCAGAACAACGATGTGTTGGGATATATACACACTTTAGGTAACTTCTACAGATCTATGTCAACTTCCAGACAGTT